TCTCAAAGCAGCTTTACACAAACAAAGTAAAATGAAGTGTGTGTGTGTGACGTCTCTGATGAGCAAGCAGGGCGACGGTGGCAAGGAAAAACTCCCTGAGATGGTGATAGGAAGAAACCTTGAGAGGAACCAGACTCAGCAGAGAACCCATCCTCATATGGGTTTACACTGTAGTGCACGTGTGTGTGTGTACGATGTGTGTTTGTGTAGTCCATAGAAAACAGCTGAAGCGTCTTCGTGGCAGTGTGAAGCATTGCCGGTGGACAGGTCCAGAGTGAAGGGGGGGGAGGTCTGGATCACCAGCAGCTCAGGAGTGATGCTCATCTGGTCCAGAGCGTAGGGGGGACACACTTTCACACTGTGTTTCTAGTGTTTCTTTACAAGCCTCCAATAGCATTTTACCACAATTTTAGTGTAAGTATTATGTTCACACTGGGAAATTCAATGAGATGTAGTGTTTTATTATTATCCATATCACATCACAATTGCATACTAATGCACGGCATTACTCTCACAACACTACTGAATAATGCACCTGATTCCTACATTGGCACTTTATTTATTTTTTTCAAAACAAGGCAACTGGGCTGTCACTCTGCTGTCTACTTTCCATATTTACTCTTTTGCTCTTTACCTCTAAATCAGCTGAGCTGTGTTGTGATTGGCATGCATAGCTACCTGCTGTGTTGTGATTGGCTCATAGGTCATCTGATTTAAAAAAAAAAAATAGGACAGATTGGGATAGTTTAAAGCATGATGGAACTGTTTCACTAGAATGCTGCAGATATGGAAAAGGTATTATATTTGTCTTACTGACAAGACTTGGAATTTTACGTTTCACTACTTGTAGTACAGATGTCTTTAAGCCCAGTGATGGACTGGAGTCCTATCCAGGCTGGATTCCTGCCTCATGCCCAGTGATCCTGGGATAGGCTCCAGATCCACCATGACCCTGACAAGGATAAAGCATTTACTAAAAATAAATGAATGAATGATGTCTTTAACCAGTCTTGGCACTCTTCCCACTTGCTTCAAAAGTGCTACCAACACACCAAACTTTTCCAGCTAACTGAGCCAGACTCCATTTGCTGGTGGATTTTGGACTTCCTGGTGGCAAGGAAAAAGCATGTGAGACTGGGGAAGCTCACTTTTTTCCTGACCATCAGCATCGGATTGCGTCAAGGTTTTATGTAATCCCCTGTGCTGTACTCTGTCTAAACCAATGACCGCAACAAAGTCCTGCTGTTTAAATTCTAAAGACCGCTGATGAATTTAGCCTCATACGGAATGGAGATGAGTCAGCACACAGGTAAGTGCTAGACCAGCTTTTGTCCTGGTGCAGTCTCAAAATTTAGAGCTAAAGACTGTAGAGATGATCTTGGATATTAGAAGATTCCCTCTATGCATAAACGGCTGTACTAGCTCAGGTCTTTAAATTCCTGGAAGCTACAATTTCCAGGGACCTCAAATGGGAAATATCTTTACAATGGTGTCAGTTAGGCAGACTCAACAGACGATATACTTATATATATATATATATACTGATACAACACTGATAGTACAGTTATACACTGGCATTATAGAATCTGTACTCATGTTCTCCATTACTGTCTGGTTGTGGTGAACAAACCCAAACCTCCACTCTGTGCCGCCTACATTGATTTATATAAAAACTAATTGGAGGGTTTTGCCAGGAAATAAAATAGTACCAATTCATCTGACTAAAAGTATAATCATTCTGAATACACCTGTAGTCTTTATGTGATAAATGTGGTAAATATACTGTATTATAACTAATTAATAAGCCATCTACAATATAAATGCTGAGCATTTGAGACAAACCATTGCCATTTTCATTAACAACAATAAATGTCTCTTAGGCAGGTCTCAGGTTTGGGTTGAGTTGGCATCTGCTGTCTGTACAAAGCTGTCTCATATTTCTTAAGTTAAACTGGCACAGCTGGATCTTTTGAGCACTTTGTATTAAACTGCTGTGCAATTAGAATCTCTGGGAAATTGCAAGGTTAATTAAACATCAAGCTAAGATACCTATAGCAAAACATAACATTTGCTTTGAAATGTGGTCTTAGTATTTGCAGAATTATAATTATTAATGCCTAATAGGATTTATGCTTGATTTCTTTTCAGAATTACAGAGCAGGCTGAATGCTAATTGAAGTAAAAGGAGTCTTTTTGTATTCTATTAAGTATGGCCATTTTTAAGCATGTCAATAGCCTACTTTACAGAAAATGCTTGTTAAGACTTTTATTTCTGTGGGAAATTGTGAACTGTTGTATTTTTTTGACAAAATAGTACAGTGCATCAAAATGACAAATCTACATTAAGTACATTTTCACTTAAAAGTGAACCCCATATTGTAAATATCAGACACCGGTGACACTTTTGCTTGTCACCAATGTATTAGATTGGACGTTAGCAAACTAACTAGAGGAATACTGTTAAAAGTCATAAAAAGGTATGAAGACTTAGGTTATCATGACTTGAAGAATTTCAAATTCTCCTAAAGGAATAAAGATTTGTGGCCAGGTTAGCTCATGTTAGCTAACTGACTAGCATTTACAGTAAAATTATTAACATTTACAACTGTCAGTGTGTTAGCAGAATTAGTCTTGACTATCATCCTCGAATTCATGATATAATTAATCTTTCTATGTCAATGTTTTAGATAGTTTTGTGTGTTTTTCTCACATCTCAAAGCTAGATGAAAAAGTATTAGAAATGTGGTAGCATATACATGCTAATATACAGTTATGCTCCCATTCTCAGTGGAAGAGGTAACATTGGGTTAATTATATTTATTCCTTTTTTTCAGCACCCTTTGAAAACACAGTTTTGACTGAAACTGGAAGGTCATATAAATAATGTAAGTGGAGGACTACCAAATAGTGAACAAATGCATGAGATCAGTGTGCTTTTTATCATTTTTTATTGTAGCCAAACTAGAAATTGCTGGCATAGTCTGTAGCAATAGTTGAAGCTCAAGCAGGGAACATCAAAAAGGACAAATCCATAATCATAAATCAAATAAACCCAAGCACAGGTCAGAACCAGGAAACATGGAGCTAGGAAACAGACTTAGACTTAATGACATGAAATGCATGATAAGACCTTGCACTGACTATAACTATAAAACCATAAACTATAAAACAGGTGAGTATGATCTCTACACAATAGCGCAATAAACCAATGACAAGACAGGGGTGGAGACAGGACTCAAATCAAAACAGAATGCACATGGACAGTGATCCAAGCAAAAAAAACATGGAAGCGATGTTTGCGCTGGGAGCCACGATGCGTGAGAGGGGGAATCAAATGACAATATCCTTACTGAGTACAAATAATGCATTTATCACCTCGTGAGCATGTCTTCACATGTAGTCTGTAAAAGATCACGCTTGTCCTCTGGCCATTCTCATCAACTCTCATCATGCTATGCTGGTCCTCCACTCATAGCTCCACTCCACTCACACCATAATGCTTTACTTTGTTAGGTTATGCGCCAGCGATGCATTTGGTGACTGGTTGGTGACCTGACAACATACCCTGCCAGACAATAACAGATGACACTTACAAGTAGTGCTGATATGACACTGTTTTCTAGTGAGGATAAGATTCACACAAAGTGCTGATAATGCTTTCTGTGAGAACCACTCAAAATCACCACAGAGCACATTAGGTGCAATGAAGCAATATTCTGTTGTTCTTCTTTTGGCTGATCCCATTAGGAAATCTGTTTTACGAGCTGCATATTTGATTTGGCACCGGTTTTATGCCAGATGCCCTTCCTGATGCAACCCTCTCATTTTATCCGGGCTTCGGATCGGCACTGAGAGTGTATGAGCTCGTGCAACCCTGGTGGTTGGGTTTGAGACCCAACATGAGGCTCAAACCCATGACCCTGAGATTAATACTTTACTTTACTCATACTTTACTGACTGAGCTAGCCAGGCACCAACGCAATTTTGTAATTCCCAGTAGGTTGCCATAGCACTTGTCAACTGCCATTTAATGAAGGAAGGTGTCTCTTTACCTGCATTCGAGCATGGCTATGCGATCACGTCCTTTACCCAATGGGCCAACCGGTCTGTAAACAGCTGAGCGCCTTTATGTTGCTCCCCAAAGCATGTAAATACATAGCTAGTCAGTGACTAGTGGTCACTTCCATATAGCACTTGTGAACCTTAATTGGAAACAGGACTAACCTGGGTACATTCTTATCTAAAATAGCAGAAAGATTGATAGGTTTTTTTGTATGCTGTGGTGCCAATATATTTGAAAGAAATGGTGGATGGGCTTGTTTGAACTTCAGTCCCCAACATAAACAATGCATGCTGAATGATAATGCATGCAATTCACTGACTTCATCTGGCTGTAGTGATGGCCAGCAACAAACCTGTCTTAACTGAAAACCATTTTATTGCTGCATCTTCCATTGACTCATGGCAAGTTACACAAACTGCTTAGCACTTTATGGCTAGATCCCACTGAGGAACCACTGTATGGAGTTCAGAGATGTTACGCACCATTAAGAAAAGTTTTGAGTAGTTTATGCACGTATTTCTGTAGATTTGGCCAATCATGCACCAATACATCCTGGCCCAAAGCTGCCCCATTACTAGAAACAGAAGGTGCATATGCCCACTTACAGAGCTTGCTTGCTCACCTGAACCTTGTCACCTTGGTGGTTGATGTAAAACACCATCAAATGAGCAAGACAGATAGTCAGATTCATAAATATTCGGACACATTTATGTTTTTTTTTAGCTGTTTACTACAGTAAAGAGTTGAAATTAAGTAGTGAATAAAGTGAGTATCATCCAGGGTTTAGAAAGCAAAACACATAGAAAGCCTCATGTGTACCTTTATCATTGACTTCCAAACATAATTTACATTTGTACACAAGATTACAGATATGAGTGAGTTGTAGATTGTTGTATTTTATAATTCATGTGGGAAGATTTCAAGGACTATTAAACTGAAGTGCTTTGGCTTCTGCTACCCAGTAGGTTAACAAAAGTTTCTCAAGAGGGCCATCTGTTTACCACACAGCAAGCATAAAGGTTTTTATATCAATGGATGGGAAATCTTCATTAGAATGTTATAATGAAAAAAAAAAAAGTTTAATGATTTCATAACTGAATCACTGGTAATAAATTATCATAATTTTCAGCAAGCTAAGCAAGAGCTAGAGGCTTCTGGCTCATTTTGTGCCTTTTGTTAAAGGGAAACAGTTACATTTGGCTATTTTTAATAGTGGATGTTGTTGTGTAATACTATGTGCTTTGAAAAAAATCATGATATTTAAATGCCTTTAGGTACCAAATATGATATGCACTGTGCTGCTACTGAATCCACTAAACTGTGCTGTGAACAAGCATGTTGAATAAGACCTGGGTGAAAACTTTGTATTCAAGTATAACTAAGTAGTTGTTCCACCTCATTGTCAGTCCATACATATGAAACCTTGTATTTGTTATTTTATTTTTTTGTTTTAAAACCATGTTGGTGTCTCAGTACTCAGCCTTAATTTCTTAAGGCATTCGTTCTTAAACACATCACAGTTTAAGACATATTATCACTGCGCTAGCATGCTCACGTGAGCCTTTTCAAATTGTTTTCCATTTCCTTGGATGGATGGGAGATTCCTTGTGTGGATGGGATTTTTTTTTTGGAGGGGTAAAAATTATGTTTGTAAAAATATCCATATGCATATGGGCCTGAGTGAGCACAAAACCCGATATCCTGAAGCTGAGCCTGCATGAACTCAACACCTCCCTGTGTAAGTGGATCCCTCAATCACCTTCTTCAGCACAACCATAGAGAATGCCGATGCCCCCTACTGCTGTTCGTGTTACTGATGCAAAATTGTGCTGCACACCATCAAGCTTGCTCATGACCCTATAGCGCTGGGCTTCTTTATCAGCTACAACAACAGGTCAGCATACACAGGGGATGTGTGGCTTGAGGACTGGTGTAGAAGCAACAGTATGTCTCAATGTAGACAGAACAAAAGAGATTACTGTTGAGTTCAGGAGGACCTGTAGAGATCACTCTCCACTGCATGCAGAGTCAAATGTCAAAGTTTCTAAGTGTAGACATCGCAAGGGACCTCATTTGGTCTTTGAGTTCTTCCATGCCAACCTTGGCAAACCATGTCTTCATGGACCTCACTTTGTGCACAGGCCATTGTTGTGCTGGAAAAGGTTTAGGCTTGGCCCCTTAATTGATAGATAGATAGATTACTTTATTAATCCCAGAGGGAAATTCACAAATTCAGCATCATTCAAGTGAAGGGAGCCTACAAAGCTATTATAGACAGTTGTGTGCTTCCAGCTTTGTGGCAGCAGTTTGGGGAAGGTCCACATATGGCTGTGGAGGTCAGGTGTCCTTGTACTTTTGGCCATATAGTGTTTATGCATAAGCTGCTATTTAGGTCTACTTTTATTATTTTGTAGCTCGGTCAGCTTGTATACAGTATGCCACCTAGTTCTCTGTCCTTTTGTAGTTGGTGTGTATTGTTATTGTGTCTGACCAAACAAAAAGATCAGGCAGACTGTCTCCTGATTGAGTTCCAATCTGGAATTTGGATAAACCAACATGAAGAGAAAAGCAAGTTATTTTGAAGCTGAGAAAATAGGGAAAGTCGGGCCACTGGGCAGAGCCAATACAACAATTTGGAATGTCCTGAAAATGAAAAAAAAAAAACTGGTGTACTAACAAGCAGACATGGTACAGGTTGGCCAAGAAAAACAAGAGTAGTTGATGACAGAAAAATTGTGAGAGCTGTGAAGAAAAACCCCAAAACAACAGGGACATCATCAACAACCTCCACAGAGCAGGGGTGAAGGTATCACAATCCACCATTTGAAGAAGATTTTGAGAGCAGAAATATAAAGGCCATAACACAAGATGCAAACCACCCATCAGCAGTAAGAATCAGAAGGCCAGATTGGAATTCAGAAAGAAATACAGAGATGAGCCACAAAAGTTCTGAAATCAAGATTAACCTCTACCAAAGTGATGGAAAGGCCAAAGTGTGGAGAAAGAAAGGATCTGCTCATGATCCAAAACATACAAACTCATTGGTCAAGCCTGGTGGAGGTAGTGTCATGGCTTGGGAAAAAGTGAAAGGAGACTGAAGGGAGAAACCTCCCAAAACAAACAACAACTGAAAGAAGCTGCAGTACAAGCCTGGAAAAGCATCACAAAAGAAGAATGCAACAGCTTGGTGATGTCAGTGGGTCACCGGCTTGATGCAGTTATTGCAAGCAAGGGATATGCAACCAAATATTGTATTATTTAATTTGTTGTACTTTAAGACTATCTGTTCCTATATTTTTGTTCATCTAAAAATTGTGTGGTCTGCTGTCAAAGGTGCCATGTTCTAAGTTTTTAACACATCTTGATGTAAATTCCAGGAAATGAAAGCTGAAAATCTAATCTATCCTCTCATGTTCATCTTTTGATCTCAAACCCAAATGTCTTCAGTGTACGGCAAAAACAAAAGAATTGGCCTTGCTGTTCCAATACTTTCAGAGAGGACTGTATGAACCCTAAATTTCACCTACATCTCCAGAAGCACTTTGCATGAACAGCTGATATAAGATTTGTGTCTGAAACATTTTTTCTCTGGAAAATTCTTACTATTCTGTAATTTACATACCTATGCATTTAATACAGTTACACCTTGGACTCTTCTTATGATGGTTCTTATGATGAAATGGTATCACAAGTGCAAAATCTGAGATCCACTTGTGAGAGCTTAATTCAAAATAAAATCTTACAAGCTTTTATTTCTAGAGTGTGGTTAGCAGAAAGCCCTGCTGGAGACCAGCCATCTTCCGAAGAGTGTGAAGGCACAAGCAGGGGTGGACAAATCATTAGCCTGGCCACTTGGGACAGGCAGAGCAGTCACGACACAGTTAAATATATCAAGATGCTAGTCAAACTTGAATAATATTTTTATGTGCACTGCAAGAACAGAACATAGCTCATAGCAAAAATGTTGTCCAACAACTTGGTGGCTCAAACACAATATGCTAATTCAGAAACTCTGTTAGAAGCGGATCATAAGATGGCTACATACAGTTGGCCCTTCTCCAAGAATTCCTATAATAGTTGCTTCATCTGTGTTAATGAACTTCTATGTTATTACATTATGTTAGCTACCATTTATAACCTAGTCAGTTAGGTTTCTGGTCAACCCAAACCAGACAGCACAGAAGCTTACACTTGTTCTGTGGGCTAGCTACTGAATTTATGATCTGTCCACGCTTGACTAGCATTCAAGAATTCAATGATTAACACAAACATATTCAAAAAGAAAGTCGTTCAGAGGTGACATGATAGCCTGATGGCATTATTTTGTGGAAATCCGATCTTACCTGAAATTCTGCTTACCGTACATTCCATGATTCATAACTGTTCATGGTGTAGCACACATAAGAGACACTAGAGGCCAGGATAGATCTACTTTTTAGCCCATGTATATTTTCTGCACCAGAATTACATATTGCATTTAAATTGAAATAACAGTGAACTGGAAGCACTAATTGGTTTGCCAAGAACTAGATGACTGTCAATGCAATCAAGTAACCTTTTAAGGTTTAGTATTACTATATATTTTCCTGAAACATTTATAAGTAATATTGTAATCGTTCCACAGTAATCATGGAACTACCATGTAACAAAAAGTACATAAAATATATTATATATACTACTTAAATTAGTTAAACTACACTAGTTTTACTTACATGACATAGGATTAATAGGCATCCTTATTAAATAATATTATGTATGTATTTACTTACTTACTTACTTACTTACTTATTTACTTAAGTATTCACAGGCAGTCTAGCTCTATGGTGGGTGTGTAGAAAGAGTAGTGTGTGGATATTATAGGATGTACAGACCAACATATTGTCAAAAGAAAACAAAATATAGGCCACCT